AAAAATTAAGAGGATGCTGAGCAATTTTTGTTTTCTAGTGCTCTGTAAAATACTAACTTCATCAAAGGAGCTGAGCACATAAAAACATGAGATTAAGCAGGGAGTTAAGGAGTGGGATTGAAAATGTGTGGTTTGCTATTAAAATAAAAATGAGAATTATAATTTTTGTCTTGATGTTTAAGAAAAATACCTGTATTTGTTTAGGTCAGTGTGGGAACATACCTTTACAACAATGTTTTTGTCTGATTATAACAATGTCTTTACCTCATTGTAACAATGTTTTTACCTGAGGTTCAGAGGTGGAAGATCAGCATTTTCATCCAAAGCTTAGGAGACATTAAAATTGTTCTTTTTACCTCCTTAACTTGAAGCAAGCAAACCTTGAAAACTGCAAGTTTCAGGAATGTCCTGAAGGAACTGCACAACAAAATTTTCCTTGTTTCATTTTGATTTTGTTTAATTTAGGAAGGGGGTGGGGGATGTGTCAAACCAAGCAGTTGGGCTGTGATAATTTGTTATAAATTCTCACCAGGCTGAACACAGCCACCAGGCCATGGGTCAGGAACTCTGATTCTTTACTGTGCAATCCTTCAACTGCAGCAACAGCTCACTTGGGAGACTCAAAAGGTGTTGCTAAGGAGCCCCTAAATTTGTACCAAAGACTTCCACAAGTGGCGGCTAACAAGCTTTAAATTTTTTTACTGTACGCTTCCATAAGCTCCCAGCTGCTCACAGGAAACTTCTCACAGGTTTATTTTGGTGGGAATTGAGTATTCCCAGGCTGGCAAGGTTCCATTCCCTGCAGGCTGTGATAAGCAGATACAAACACATGCAGAAGCTGCTGTATGATTGCAGTGCTCACCTTCTGTCTGCAGGATCAGTTTGCTCTCAGTCTTGACAGGATTATAAAATTACACGTAGAAAAGAGCATGAAATAGTTCTGCTTTGGTTTTTTACATCAGCTGCCTTGCCAGTAGAAGGGCTTTTCCACTAATAGTAATTAATATGAGGGCTTTTTTGAAGCTGTTTTGCCAAAAGCAAATGGTTTAAATTTGAACGTGGTTTTGAGTTCAACATTTTCCCCCTCCTCTGGGTGTTAATTTCCGCTTATATCCCTCAGGATCCACCATTTATTACAACTCTTTTCACAAGAATTAACGTGATTTTAAGCTTTAGGCTTAAGATCCTCTGTCTGATCAGTTCATTAACATTAAAATTTCTGCAGTGTGAAACACAGAAGCAAGAAGGGCCCAAGTCAGGCTGACTAAACCTAGCGATACCCAGCTCCAACAGGGAATAAAGGCAGGGAATAAAGCTCAAGAGGAAGCTTGTCCTAGAGGAAGGGCAGAAAAGCTTGTGTGCGTGCACAGTCCAAGTCACTTCCATGGCATTTCACAGGGCCCCCAGGAGGGCACTGTCCCCCAGTTCATGCATGAGCATCATTCCCTCCTTCAGCCAAGGGTTAGGAGGGAATTGAAGAGCACAAGGACACAGGGCACTGCTGCTCTCTTCCAATCCTTCAGGCAGAGGGCAGGGAAACCGACGGTTGCAGTGAAAAATGCGTCCTGCCCGCAGCAAGGCGAGCGCTGCTCTTGGGATCACAGAGCAGCAGCGAACACCCGGCTCCACCCAGCGTCTGCAGCCCGACATGCAGCACCGGGGGAGGCACCAAAAGGATTTGCTGCAATCCCGGGCCCTGGCGTTCCCTATCCCTGCTCAGAGGAACAAAATAGCTCGAGGTACACAAGGAAAATTACTGGGAACATCCGGCTGCAGCACCGGGTCGTGTTCTGAGGAGGAAGAGGGATGGGATGTTGACATGATGGGAATATGACAACCACACACACACACACTCATTTAAAAAAAAAACCCAACAAAAAAAGCACCAGTCCAGTTTGGCCAACTTCCAGTTCTTCCTTCAAAATGCTTCCCCGCTCCTCTCATTAAAAATAAAAAATAAAATTAAAAAGCACCAGTCCAGTTTGGCCAGCTTCCAGTTCTTCCTTCAAAATGCTTCCCCGCTCCCACAGTGGGACACAAAGTGTTTCTGGTGACATTCAGCAACGCTGCTATTGCAGACATTAGTACATACAAAAAGGTAAGACGTTTGGAAAAATACTTGCTAAAAAGTTCCCTGGTTAAGATTTCTTTTTTAAATATTAAAAGAGTGAAAGCTCAATCAAAGCATTTCCTTCTAATTTAAGGGAACTTGCCCAGCAGAAAGCAGTTCTGTACAGACAGTGCAATATGTTCTCCATCCACACACAGGAAAGGTTTTCCACCCACTCCCCCAAACAGCTCTCACTCCCCAGGATGCAAAACCTGTTCTTCTGGTAAGGATTTCATGAGCTCTGGTAAATGTAATTTAAGCAAACATTTTTATTACCTAAGGGCAAACATCCTTCTGTAAGCAAAACTATCATTCCTCTTCCTGTATCATATTTCCACTACAGCCTTGTAGGCCAAACTTACATTTATTTCCTCCACAGTAACACTTCATGCAGATCCAGCCTAATTGGGTTTGGTTTTGACTCCTAATAGAGGCTGTGGGGGGAAATGCAATATCCTATAGGCAGATTCAGTGATAATTCTGTATTTTTACAGCTGAAATTAAGTTTATGTTTGGAGCAGCAGTAGGGAAGAAGAAAAAATGCCCAGGCAGACTAAGAGAAGCACCACACCTGAGCTTGTAACACTCATCCCACAAACACAGCTACACCAGGAACTTCAGCAAACTCACACCTGCCCTAAATAAGGAAAAGCAATGTCATTTTTATCAGGTATCCCCATGAATTGGAAAAAAAAAAAAGAAATGCTCTACTTGTTTTAAGCAAAACCTTTATTTTAGCTCTGGGCTCGTTTGTATTAAAAACAGTTACTCCAAAATCAAATTCACATAAAATTCAATATGCAAATGAAGCTGTCATTGGTCAGGATCAGATTCTGAAAGACAAGGGCTCTGAATGACATTTGAACAACCTTGGGCGGCAGCAGATCAACCTGGGAACAGCAGCAGGAGCAGCTCCTGCTTCACAGGCTGAGAGTCCCAGTGCCTTCCCTCAGCAGCCTTGAAACACCAGCTGCACACCAGGGCCGTTTAATGATTTCTCCATTTCCCACAAATCCCCTCAGCAAGGATTGAAAACAGCAACATCCCAGTTTCATCTGCTGCTTCACAGGAGTGAATTCTCTCGAGTCTTGTTAGAGGCACTGCTATTTTCTGCCAGCAATCAAAGTACTTGTCTTAAAACAATTTCCTTACAACACCAACAATCAAGCTACATTATATACACTTCAATTGTACAATTATCTTTAAAAAATGCCCGTGTACAAAATAGGTTATTTTATTTTATTTTTTTTAAAAAATCACATGCTAGATTTCAATTACATCAACATTTTAAAATAACTGAAACAATTGATAAATAACATTCCAATTCATTAGGAACACTCCTGCAAGCAAGTGCAGAAGTATCTGCACTTTATTTCATATTCTAGTAAGCTTTTTAGGGCAATTTGTGCTATAAACTTCATGTACAAAGCGTGTGAAAAGCTCTTACTTGTGACAACAGAATAAAAGCTAATTAATTAAGCAAGAGTATTTCAGTAAAATTATTCTACTTATGAAGTAAATACCACAAGGGCATATCATTTACAGCCAGTTAGACAAAGAACACAGCTAGTGACCAGAACACATACATTAGTTAAAAAGTCAAATATATACAAAAATATATTAGAAAGTGGTTGAGTTTAACCACAGGCTCATGTAAAAAAATGTTGTTTTAAATAGCAATAGCAAAAAAATAGCTATTTCTCTATCTGCAACAGTACAAAAGGCAACACCTACATATGAGGTAGCAATGCCAAATTAAAAACAAAAAGAAACCAAAAAAACAACTTTGGATTGAGGAGCATTTCCTATATTTTCATAGCATATCTGTCAATACAAATATTTAAATGAACACTTCAATTGTTTCAAGAATTAACTACATTAATTTACAAAACCCTTTATTCAATTAACTTTTTAAAAATTACTGGAAATTGGTTTAGTTACTGATTTCTCCTGTTTCTAAAAAAGCTGTTGCATTTTTCAAACCCAAACACTGTACAGCAAAAACGTGGAGGCTTTTATTATACACACTTGGTAAACACTATGGTACATTAAGACGTAATTTACAAAGATCAGAAGGAGCCAGCTGTGGTCATTTTATCCTTTTGTGCCCAACAGGCAGACACTGCACACTTTTTACCCCGTGCTCAATGCCAGAGGCAGTCTGAGGGTTCACTACTCCCTTCCACAGCCACAGAGGTGTTTGAAGTGTTTCATCTCCCTCCAGGAGTGGGAGCCACAAGCGTGGCTTCCACCTCCAGGGCCAGGGGCGCTGCCAGGCAGCGGCTCAGAGCTGCCCCTGGGCATTCCTGGAAATGCCTCAACAACCTGGGGTGGGAGAAGGGAACAGCTGTGTCCCTTCTCCCAATTCCATCTCTTTATCCTCCTGCAGGTGCAGGGCAGGAGGGGCCAGCTGAGCCTCTCTGACCAAAAAAAATGCCATCAGTGAAAAGCCAGGGGAGGAACAACCATGTAGCCGAGCTGTGCCAGCTCTGGTCGTGGGGCTGCAGGCCCCCCACATGGGTCACATCCTCTGCTTCCAGCTCCACTGACCAAAAAGGCCCTGCTGCTCCTCCAATTCAGGCAACTAAATTGGACATCTAAAGTTAGATGGTACGAGTAACACCAAAAAATGAACTGGATGGAATTTCAGCATTTATTGTATTAAGAAAATAATATACTTTACATCACAGTGCTTAATTAAATGCAATAAAAAAAATGTAAACTCAGAATTCTAGATTAAATTTAGCTTGAAAAATTAGGGCTCGAAGACTTTTGAAAATTCACAATTTTTTTAAAAATTGAAGTCACAGACAGTCAGTTCACATAACTCACATCTCGAAGTCTACTCGTAAGCAACACCTCTGACGCACTCCCACGTTTGGCCGGGTTTTGTTTGTTTTGTTTTCTTTAAAAGCCTAAATACCAAATGCCCAAGTGCAAAGGTAAGAGGTATGTTTCTCTGCAAGGAATCCAAGTGTAGCAGGAACGTGGCCCAGCCCCCGGAGTGCTCTAGTAGATGTAGGGGAATATGCGGTACGGGACGCGCTGGCAGTACCGCTCCCAGGCCAAGCCGTACTTCTGCTTACAGTGGTGCTCATCACGAGCCTCTCGATGGACAAGCAGGCAGATGAAATAGATCACGTAGAAATAGGGTAAAATGTGATTAAAACCTGCAAAGGGACAAAGTGAACTGAGATCCAGGACAAAGATCTAGAGGTGGTAGCTGTTAACATGTTCGAAGCTGGTGACACACACTTGTTGAAGGCTGAAGCATTTTATACCAAAGCATCGAATATTCAACAGGACTGTGCAACACATGCAGATGGAAAACGACCCACAAACCCACAGAAAGTGATTCTTAAACTCAGAGTCACAAAATCTACCAATTTCACTCTCAATGCCTGCAAAGCTGGCACACATTCAGGTGTTATTGTCATTTTAAGTTCTTTAGCTATCAAAACCAGATTTCCAGTCAAATCTCTGCCCCACACAAGGTTTTCTCTGCTTTGCCTGCAGACACGAGTCCAGCTTTGCTCAGAGCACACCACTTGACCTGTGGATTACAAGAACTGCAAAGGACCCAGAAATGTGAGACTGCAGCCCAAAAAGCCAACTGTACTCTGGGCTGCATCAGGAGGAGCGTGGCAGTTCTGATTCTAACCCGCTGCTCTGCTCTCCTGAGACCCCACCTGAGGGTAGAGTCCACCTCTGCGTATTATGAACAAACACCTTGAAAGATAATTTCACTGTGTTTGATGACCTTCCTTTTAAATAACTTTCACTTCAAGTTATCCTTGTATGTGGTGGCCCTTGTCTCCAAGCAAACATCCACTTTTGGGGAACTTCAGCTGAAAATACACTCACTAGCCTAAAAAATTTAAACAGCTAATTAGCAAGTAAGTCCCATGGTTATTGAATGATAAAGTGTCAGAAAGATGAGGAAAATCTTTAGTATGTGTCAAATCTGCAGCAAGTTAGAAAGGGTAAAATGGAAGTAAAAGTGTGTTGCATCAGACTTATGACACAGAAATCTGCTGTTCAATAGGGTTTGCTATCTCAGATAATTACCACTTGGCATTTCAAGCCCAGACAGATGCAAAACAAAAACATTTCTGCTAAAAATCCACTTCAGTCAGAAACTCACCACAGGGTAGGGACCATGCCAGAGCCATGATGATGTCACCGAGGTAATTAGGGTGACGAACAAAACCCCACCAACCCGTGACAAGAAGCCCTTTTCCAGTTGCAGTGGGTATGAATTTCAGATCTGTGAACAGAGTATTGTGGTCATTGCAGTGACTGAAATATGTATTCATATACTACAAAGAGCCATTGAATAAAATCACAGCCAATGGAATAAAAAATGCACTCACTGGCCAATTTGGGATCTGCTGGATTCCGTCGGAAATTGTTTTTCTGAGAATTTGCACTGCGGAAGATGTAATACCCAATACCTGAAAATAAACATGATGGATTTTGCATTTTCAGTATTTTCCAGTTTTTTTCAGCTTCAACAAAAGCACTCATATGCCCTTTGCCACACTCATTCCATCAAAATCTTTTCCCCAGAGATTCAAATGGTATTTTCTGGTTCTCAGAGCTCTAACAAGGTAGAAATGCCACTGGAAACCTGCATTCCATGAGATCCTTCTTGTTACTGACTAACTTTGAAGAGATTCTGAAGAACCTTTATTCTCACATCTATAGCTGAGTTTTTTAATGTTACACTGAGCTTGAAATTCACATTCTATGATTACAGCTCTATTTTGCAGCCTAGCACTTTGTTACAGCACCTACTCCATAAACTGACAACTCTTTTACAAGATCATGACAACAAAAGAACCAGGCAAGGAATTATCTGGGTTTGAAATTCATACCCCCCATAATTTTCACACAGCAGCTTAAACTTGCTTTTTCCAAAGCTGCATTGAAAAAAGATGATCACAACATACTTTGAATAAAGATTTTTTTTTTTTTAAATAGAAACCCATGAGGAAACATTAGGTGAAGATGAAAAAGTGATTTTCTGTTTTTCAGGTTCCACATATCAAGCTGTACATCTTCTCATTTTTCCCAATCTTTGTCATGTCTACAAAATAGGAGTGGTTTTTTATGGCTTTCCTAGTCAGATAACAGGGGCAACAAGCACGTGTTGGTGCAAATTTAAGGTTGCCTAAAGATGTGAGATCTTTTCTCAAAGCACTCAGCTTTGATGAAAAAAGATGTTTTCTACTGACATGTGTTTGTAACTATGGCCATCAGGTAAGGAGATGCAAACAATTACTTTTTCCCTAGGTTCAGCAGAGTGGAGCCAACAAGGTACTGACTTTTTTTTTTTTAATGAGTCGCTCAGATTGACTTTAAAAAGCATCTATTAAATTCAAAATATGTTAAATCACTTCAACTCCAGACAGCACCCACCTAGAGCTGCTTCTCCACAGAACCTCAAAATATGTTAAATCACTTCTTCAACTCCAGACAGCACCCACCTAGAGCTGCTTCTCCACAGAACAATTAGGTGTTCAGAGTCTCACCTATCCTTTTGCTAAAATGAGGATTTATTATATTCTTTGTATTTCACAGTAGCCAATGAGTGCTGCATCTGAGCTAAAGCTTCCCCTCCCATCTCTGAAGAAACAGAATCAGAACTATGTTGTAACCAACAGCAACAACATTTACTGCAACTTACAGTTCAGAACAGTAATTGCAGCAGCAACAGGCCAAGTAATTGTGGTGGGATGACCCACTAAGTAGAAGGCCTGCAGGCTGTAGACAAATGGAACCCACACCAGATCTCCAAACGCCAGCATGAATCCAAATCCATCATGGGTAATGTCCATTGTAGTCAAAACAGCTTCCTGGAGACAAGGAAGAAGGAATTTTAGCATTTCCAAAGCCTCCTTCTCTTAACATTGTAATTAGAAATGGCACCAGCTGAAGGGGATTGGCATTTACCTCATTCCAAAGAGCATCCACCACATAGAGAAGCTGGAAGCTGTTCACAAGAATCATGGACAGGGATGGCACACTGAGATTGTGGATCTTCATCTCAGCCAAGAGCATTGCCAAGTTTATAACAACCTAAGGTAGAAAACATTTTATTTAAAAGTTTATTTGTAAAAGAAAGTAGTCTTTTCTATTACACTATAGGACATTTTAACACAAGTATTTTTGACCAAGGTTTAGAGCAGAAAAAACAATAAAGAAGAAGTCAGTTTGCCACTAACCACACTTTGGAAGCTCTGTAACTTCAACATACAAATACCTTAAAAAGGATTTTAATTTGCTACAAAACAAAGAAGGTAGAAATTGCCTTCAAGTGAATAAAAATAGTCATTAAAAAACTAGCAACATGGAACTGTTTTTCAGTACTCATTTATAAGTAATTATAAATACATAAATACCCTTAATATCAATTACATGTGTGTGGAGGGGTGTACAAAAATCCCTCAGTGTAAAATTTAAGCAAATAAAATAACTCAGATTACTGACTCACCCAGCCAATTAATCCTGGACGCAACTCACAGAAGTATTTGAGGTCAAAGCTGCCAATACGAGGGTTTAACTCATGTCCAGTAAAAAAGTCATAAATAAAATACCCTGCAGATAAGACACAGCCTCTGTTAGCAACACTCTTGCTGTTATCTGCCACTACACTCCTCCCCAGAAATAAAATCCCACTTTCCACTAATGTTCCCTCATTACAAATTTTTAAAAGCCTTCAGATTGGCAAAAAAAAATGTGAAGAGTAGGTGCAAAACACAAAACAAAATCTAAACAAATTAGGAGGACTAACCACTTTAGAAGTTCTCCCTGACATTTGTTCCTTCTTTATTTTCAGCCTTATCCTGAAGCTCCCATCACAGTTTCTATGAACATGATCATATGGCATTAATTTATTTTACATTTTCTCCTATTTAATTGCTTTTGTCTGGGAAAAAATTCCCTTTCACTTCCTTCAGATTGGCAAAAAAAAATTTGAAGAGTAGGTGCAAAACACCAAACAAAATCTAAACAGTTTGTATTTTAAGATGCTCTAATTTTTTATTAATTAGGAGGACTAACCACTTTAGAAGTTCTCCCTGACATTTGTTCTTTCTTTATTTTCAGCCTTATCCTGAAGCTCCCATCACAGTTTCTATGAACATGATCATATGGCATTAATTTATTTTACATTTTCTCCTATTTAATTGCTTTTGTCTGGGAAAAAATTCCCTTTCACTGTGAGAATTACCCATTCATCAAAAAAGGTGGACAAAAATGCCCTGACTTCATATCTGGGACTGAATTTGTGGAAAAAAACCCCAACCAACACTTCACAGAGCAAAATTGAAGTCACAGTACTGTAATAACCAGCCCCAAATCTAGCCTTGAATTTGTACAAATGAAACTATAGCAAACAACTGGAAAGAGATCACCCAGAATGTTCTAACTCACCAGAATTTCCACCTGGTGCCAGCTCTTCCTCGGGTGCTTTCAGGGACCGAGCGTACAGATAAATGCTCAGTGCCAAAGAAAAAGCTGCAGCTGACGCTGCAAACTGCATGAGGTGATCGTACACATAGTGAAGCTCAAACTGAAAGTACAATAAAACTCCAATAGCTGCAGCAGTCAAAATAAAAGCATAAAACCCTAAAGGATGTAGAAGAAAGACATATTAGTCAAAATAAAAAACAAAGCAATTTATTGTTTTAGTAGGACCTACCTAATCCAACCTTTCTGCACTTTTACTTCTTCCAATATTTGTCCATATTGCAGTAACATCTTGGACATCCCATGGTTCAAACCTCTGGGGCACAGCAATATAACTGAGAGACTCCAAGCCCTCAAACTGTGCTCACCAAAAGGACAAGAGGCAGGAACACTCTGAATACTTCTCAATTTTTTATGCCACAGGATCCAGTTTCAGATTTTAGTGGAAAAATGGACACTGACACTACTAAAGGATAATGAGAGCAGGTCACAAAGTCTTATCTGTGGGACAGCTGAGACAACCATGTTCTCATCTTTGAATTATCTTCATCTATACCTTGATACAGATAGCAGTAATTAAAGTATTAAAATGACTTATCAAGGCAAAACTTGAACACAAAAACTTTTGCATACACTGAGAGTTTAATTCCATGCAGAATGGACTGATGCCCAAACAGGAGCAGGCAGTTCTCTGCTGCCCTCAGCTGGGGACTCTCGTGGATCCCTTCACAGGTCACAGGGGTGAGCTTAGAAGGAACCTCCAGAGTTCATCTGGTCTAGTTCAGATGCAAACTCCTGCACTTCACTTTGTGCCCAGTGCCTCTTGTCCTTACCTTTCCTCCAGAAGGCTTTTAAATTTGCTTTTAAAGTTAGCCTTCAAAGCACCAAGACTATGTGGGTTTTTTTTAATAATCCAAATTATGTAGCTCACTTCCTCCCTTTATCAGAATGCAGAAAGAATTGCAGCACTATAGCACAACTACAGACAAAAGTCCAAAGCCAAGACAGGTATGTGACAGCCTCAAGGAGACTCACTTTTTCAGGATGCAATTCTCCTTGTTTGTCACTTACAGCCCTACTCCAACTTTAAAATGGTGCATCTTACCAGACTATGACAAAAGTCAGCTTTTTAACTGTAGTATTTGAATTCCACTACCACCTCTGTCCAGTGTAATGTCTTGCTCTCGGGGCACTTAGTTCCTGATGATAACTAACCACATTTTTCCAAGAAAAGGCTCATCCTATTTTATCCAAGATTGACAACAGATATGCTCTCTGGTCAAACTGTACCTTTCAACATTTATATTTTATGGTGCTGAGCACTGCAAATCACACAATGGAGTCAGTTTTGGAATCACCAACTGCACCATGCTTACCATTTATCCGGTACTGCAGTTTCCTTCCACTGGAAAGAGGCAGGCCTTCTACAACCTAAGGAGAATAAAATATTAATGCTCAACAAAGTATTTTCTGTGGGCCCTTCAAGAGAGAAAAACCAAGCTCAACTCTGTCAGAAAGACACTCAGTCAAAGCAACCAGCTGGACATGCTCAGACCTGAAGCTCATGCATTGTTCTGGAAAACATACTCTGGACAGCAAATGAAAAAGAGTTTCAAATAAAAACATTATTTAAAATAAACCTCTTCCTAACCAGCTTCAAGAAAGCAGAACTTCTCCAGTCATTGTGAACATGTTCAGCAATAAAACATGACTGATCTACTTCAGAGTGTCCTTTCAGAATCTGCCAGTAACCCTCAAGTCACAAGAGAGGGAAGGAGAGCCTTTGCCTGATACTCATACATATGGCTAGAATGGTTTATAGATTCCCGTAAATGAAGACTGTTTTCCAAAAGCCTGGATATCCATAAGAAACTGAGTATCAAAATAGTTTGTGAAATTAGAAGTCAGATACCTAAAATTCTTCTAGAATTCTATTAAGCAAAGTTTATCCACAGTTTGATCTGAATGCCTATAAAATGCCTTCTGCCTTCTCTACTGGAAGGCTCTGAAATGCAAAAATTCTGAACCAGCTGTGCTGTTTTAAGCTTACAGAAATCTGCAGCAGCTGTATTCCACTTTATTACAAAAAACTCATCAAACTGCTTTCAAATGCACTGCATTTAGAACACAGCCCACCTTCCAGCCTAACACACAGTTTAGTTGCCCATAAAGACCCAAGTGCTCCCAACAGCCTACCTTTCCAATTGGCAGCAAGTAAAACGCAGCTTGAAGGAAAAACCAGAGAAGAAAGACACCAAACACCCTCCCATCCCAAAGACTCTCAAGTGCTGGCAGAGGAGGGAAGTTCAGAAGACTTGGATCATCTTCTTTGCACATCAACAGCAAATAGAACACAGTAGCAGGCAGGAGAAGCATCAGCATGAAGGTCCCTGTAAACAGACATCATGGCATGTTAGAAGGTAAGTGCAGAAAATTTAAAAAATAGTTTCAATCCCACTAAAAAAGCTCAATATTAAATAACAAAGAAGAGGTTGTCATTATTTTCTCCTGAACAAGACAGCAGCAATCCCACAGTCATGTAACAGGACACTGAGACATACTTCTCACTTCCATACAAGGTCATCTACCATGGGCTCACACTCATCGCATCCCTTCAAAAATAATCCAAAAATTGTCTAAAAAATACTTCATTGTCAAGTTTCAAGCACCTAAGTTTTAAAAATGTAAAATCTTTGCTAGCTATTCTTCAATTTAATCTAGAAATATTTAAATCTCACTGTGGCAAGGGGTGGCACAAGATCTTTGCTGTATTTCACATATGAACCAAGTGCATTAAAGGTTCTTTGCCACCCAATGAAGTGAAACACAACAATTTTACTCTGAATTCTGCAGCCAAGGTCCAAAAAGCAGTTCTTGACCTGACAGCATGGTCAATAAGTAAAAACCCACAAAACAGTACTCATTTTCAACTATTAAGACAATTTGCACACGTACCAATTCTTCCCCCAAACTCCAGCTCCTTTGTTTTTGTTGATACTTTCTCAATTGGTTTTACAGCCACAAAAGTCTTTTTCTCTGAATAGATCTCTTCTTTTTTCTTGTCATCTTTCCTCGAACGCAAGCTGTACTGCTCAAGCACACGCTTGATTTCCAGTTCTGGTTTCAACTTTTGCTGTAAATGAATAAAAATAATTTACTAGAAGGTTTCCCAGTGATTTTACTTTCTTTTAGTCCAATATTTTATATTCCAGAGGACATTACTCACTGTAAAACACCAATATACAATTACCCATTCAAATAAAGAGGCTGCTAAAACCAGGCACTGTAACCTGCTGGGCTGTGATTACAGATCAGCAGCAGTTCCAGCACAGGTCATCCATTCCCACCCTCCCACTTTCCCTTCATGCTGGGCACTAGATAACAATCAGGACAATTTAAAAAAAAATCACTTTCTCTGTAGCAAACTTACTTAACCTCCAAGTTTTATATTGCCTTCTATTTCTGCCTGATTATTGTATTGCCCTTTTCTAGGAATTTCTGAGAGATCCAAGCTAGGAATGTGACAAAAAGCTAAGAGCAAATTCCGTGTTCCTACCTCCAAGATGATGCAGGATGTGGCATTTTTTTCTGTACTTTCAGGTTCACCATTGTACCTTTTGGTGTTATTCTCACTCGGTTTCTGCTCAAAACAAGAAACACAGTTTAAGCTTTCAGTGTCCTATATATGGCACTGTTCTGCAGAACTGAAAGTTTGCTTTTCCATAAAATATCTTTGAAGAAATAAATTCTCTCATAAGAATTCTTCTTGTGAGTGTAGCTTACACAGCTCTGGGAAGACATGACTCATGTTTTATTTCAACTGCCTGGTCTTTCCAGTCTCACAAGAGCCAACAGATCAGTCCTACTCTTCAGATAGAAGCCAGGACAAAACCACCAAAGACTTTTTAACCCTTTTATCCCAAAAGGTTAAAAGTACTAAAAGTAAACTGTAGCTGCTTGCTTAAAACCTGATTGTGATCCACAGGCACTGGATCACACAGCTCAAAGGAGCTCACTGCAAAACCAACCCCACAACTGTTTCAGTGCCTAAGAGCAGCAATTTACTAAACCCATCCAGCTAGTTTATATTAATCTGGTTAATCTAGCTGAAACCTAACTAAAATCTGTTCATTTTCAATAGGTCAGCAGAATGCATTCCCAGTTCCAGGGACTGTCTCTCAGACAAGTGAGAAGCCATCTAAAGGGTACAAGAGGCAAAAAAAACGCTGTTTGTCTCTTCACAGAGAAACACCACCTCTACTCCTCTTCACTTAAAGATCACCAGAAGCATTTTTAGCACTCAATCTTCACAAAAATGCTAAGAACAAAACTAATAAATTTCAGCTAGACACCAGATATTGGTAAAGTTAGAAATCCTTACAGGTTAGTTTTTATAATGAAACCAGTTTTGCAATATTATCCATCAGCATGGCCATATTTAAATATCCCACACTGCGTGTTTTCCACTAGTGCTGTAACAAAGTGTATATGGTAACAGAACTCATTTTATTTCTAATCCTCATACCTACCTGCTATGTACCAATTAACACATCTAAAAGTAAGCTAACTTCCTTTGCCTCATTTCACAAGTGGAAGCACATGGCTAACAATTACTTCAATACTAAATATTTAAAAATCTGTGTTTGTTTGGATTCTGAGAAGTTCTCAGTATCACCGAATTCAAGTGGAACTTTATAACCTCGGTTTACCTCTCAAGAATTTCCTCAAACATTGCAAGCTAGAAACCCAATTTCCAAATTAAAAAAAGGCAGCTTTGAGATATACTTTTGCAGGTAATTATGCTGTCTAGAGAACATGAACTGCAGCTGGCTTTAACAATTATAAGCCCAGTCTGCATAAAACCAATCTTTCACCAATAGCAAAAGTTTCTTTAAATAAAAATCCAGCAAACCCACACACAAAAACCCCACAAACAAAACTAATACCGGCAGAGCTAAGCTGGTCTCCTGAATGGCTTTCTTCTTGTCCTCCTTGTGTTCCCTGCTTTGGGAAGCAGAACGACGCCTGCCCTTGGCTGGCCGGCCCGGAGACCGAGAGCGAGAGCGAGATCTGCTGCTGCTTCTTCTGGAGGGAGAACTTGAAGAAGACTGGCTCTTCCTGTGCTTGAATGATGACTGCGACTAAAAGAAAGATGGAAAGAAAGCAATAGCTTAGCTATGTCCCAAAGAACAATTTTAGAAACACGGGGGGGTTTTGTGATGAGGACTCTGGCATGCAGGTCTGGAGATCTGTCTCGTATTTCCTCTGCTGATGCTCTACAAAGGCTGTTGCGAAAGAGCAACTGCAGAATACTCATTTTGCTGGCAATTCCCAAAGAAGCCTGTTCCAAGTCCAACTGCTGCTGGCAATTCCTGTTGAAGCTACAGCAATGAGGCTGTGGATGTAAGCTAGCAAAGTGAGCACCAAGCTGTTAAGCACACCACCCTCTCAATCCTGTGCATAGGGATGGCAATTGAGAGCTGTCTCTCAAGCCCTCAGTGGCTGCTCTCACTTCCACTACTCAGCTCCACTAATGCATTTGACACGGCAAACTTCATCATCCGTGTGAAGCAACACAGAGCAAATCAACACTAAAAAAACCCAAATCAGCCTCATCATCTCATTACATCTGGTAACTAATTTCACAAAAAATTTTACTCCAAAAGCACTGTTTGATTTCTCTGTGAAGTCTACAATGCTGATTTCCCCATGTAAAATTTCCACAATGCAACTTTTATAATGCATAAATGTTTCATGACAAAGAAAGGAACTTTCCCAGCTTGAGTCTGCTAACCTGCATGCAGAAGTAACAAGTCAGAAAGACTTGAAACAGTGAAAACAGTTGCCTACGTCAAGGCAGAAACATTTTGGTCCCAAAAGAGAAGGCCAGTTACTGGGCATGGACACCGCCACCAAGAAGTGACACTACAGTTCACATAAAGACTTGCAGGTTCCAGAACGGGCCATAGAAATGAACTACAGTGAACATTCAAACAGGGTTTTTCCTCCTGCAGTATTCATTTTCAACTGAAACTTCTATGAAGTTTTAAAGGACTTTATGAGTAACAAAAATAAAATAGTAACGATATGCAAAGAGGAAGGAATGTGCTGATATCACGTGAACTTTTCTCAAGGGTTTGTAATTGTCACAAGTACAGCAAAATACCTCAGGAAGCCTTTGAGGACCTAAACTAGCAAAAACTCTTTGCAGACGTTTTAAGTATGTGCTTGAAGGGCATGCACTGTTTATATTTACAGTGAGATTTAACTGCATCTTCCCATTTGTTAACAAATTTTCTTATTTAGAGATGGAAAACCATCAAATTAGTATCAACCCGTTGATTACCACCTTTGTAAGGTACCCAAATCAGTTTTTTTTGAAAAATCATGCCACAGAGTTCCTGAAGGATCAGACTTGGTTTTCCTCAAAAATATTATACTTTTTTGACATAAATAAAACAACCATGATTCTTTAAAGATGGGATCATTATGAACTTCTACTTGAGGTGTCACATAGGAATAAACTTTTATCTAGCACCAGTTCCTTGAAGACACAGTTAACAAAAACTTGCAAAAGAACTACCCAGCCCTAAGCTGAAGTACTGACAATTAAATCCATGTGCACTCACCCTTATATCACTTTCCTTCAGTGCAAGTTCAGTTCCATCTTTGTACTTGACAGTATAAAGATGAGCAACATCATCGTAGCTGGTCACTTGTACCTCGTAGTACAGGACGCTTCCCGGCCAGCGGCCCATCACCACCTCGCCATCAGCAAACTTCCGGCTTGGCATTTTCCAAACTGAATCCCTAGAAAATAAATCACTCAGTCCACATGGCAGCTAAACACCAGGCTTCATTTCCCCCTCCTCTCCTTCTGTATCATATAACTGAAAAGGGGACACTTTCAACAAGTCTCCACTTTAGAAAGGGAAAAGGCTGTGTGGTGAGAAGCAGCAGTGATCTCTTTTGTAAATCAACAGCAGCCAGAAGAAATAGTCTTAAAATAGAGAGAAGATTGAAGGTGCACATTCTGAAAAAACATTCAGATGTATTAGACTAGTACTGAGCTACAATATATAATCTCCATCATCAGGCAAAGCACATCTTTGACCAAAATTACATAATGAAGCTCATCTTATCTACGGAGAAATGCAAATTACGTGGTATTGAAGTGTCCTCTAACCCTTGTTTCCTGTGGTTCTACAGAAATTACAGAAGTGATGATTTCTAAACATTAAACATCTCCAATCTCTCAAACACTTACAGCACATTACAGTCTTTCTTCAATTTATTATGCCAAACACTCAAAAGTTAGGAAACTTCCGAATTTAAGCTCCTGTCTGGGTTGAATATTTTTCTTTTCCACCTCTTTAACAAAAGGCCATAATGCCTTTTCCAGGGCTCCATGGGAAAACAAAGCACAGCAACCTGAAAAATGAAATTCTATCCCCCATCTGCATAATCAGGTTTTTATTTGCTATTAACAAAATGTGCTGTAAGTGACTACTACCCTCGGTTCACCCCACCAGGTGCTGGGAAAAACCACAACTACAACTTAGAGGAAATTGTTTCTAAGTGTAAAGTCCTGTAGAACTGATTGTATAGCGCTTGTGTCATGTCACTGCCTCCTGAAAACAGATATCCCAAGCAGAATATACTTTTAACCTCAATGTATCAAGTGAGACTACCTTAAAAGTCTAAGATAAGGTAAAAGATACACTAAATAACAAAGGTAAAAGATACACTAAATAACTAAGGTAAAAGACACACTAAATAACTAAGGTAAAAGATACACTAAATAACTAAGGTAAAAGATACACTAAATAACTAAGGTAAAAGACACGCTAAATAACTAAGGTAAAAGATACACTAAATAACTAAGGTAAAAGACACACTAAATAACTAAGGTAAAAGATACACTAAATAACTAAGGTAAAAGATACACTAAATAACTAAGGTAAAAGACACACTAACATTTGTACCAGCACCGTGTGTACAACCAAGACATGAACTCAGAGGGGACGGCAGGGACACGGAGAAGACACAACCACAAAACGCTGGTGTCAAAGCATTTCATTTCAACTTGTTTGCTTCATCAATTTGATAAGAAAGCGAAACCACACAAACTAAGGTAAACACAAGTCTTTAACTAGTTAATTATTACAAATTAACTAACCTGCAGTGAAAAGTTAAGATTCTTGGGGAAAAAAGTACTGTTAATATTCAATCACAGACCATCATCACTTGCTGGGGGATGGGGCTCAGTGAGGTTTTACAATCAACATTCATTCTGGCATTTTCTGACATTGCTGCTGCTGTTAAATTTTACACCTGTGTAGCTCTCCAAGTCAAATACCAAAAAAAAAAAAATCAGCAGAATTCCCTCATGTGGATTTTATTACTAATACTCCAAACTGCTTCAGACCAGAAACATCTGGCCATCTCCTCTGCTGTATAATATCTGAAGGAGAAAAAAACCCCTAAAGTTTGATAATTTGGTTTCACTGACACTTGCCAGTCACAAAAATGATGAGTTCTAGTCTGTGCTGTTCCAGCTCTTCTGCCTTCTAATTAGTGTTTGTTGCCCCAGTTTCTTGCTTCTGTCTTATTCTTTCTGAATTCTCACTCTTTCCATTTTCTTTTATCCCAGTCAGGTTAACCCCTTCAAATTCACATCCCTGTTTCTTATGACTTCCATATTTTCATTTCAAATTCTCCATTCCCTCCTTAGCCCCCATCTTGGAGTCCTTATGGATTTTCTGCCCTTGCTCACCAAACCAGCTCTGGTTCCTCTTTGCCGCCTGTGCCTAAATTTGATCCCAATCCCTATTTCTGTCTCCCTGTCCATTTTTCCCTCGCACAGGCAGTTCTTTAGGAGATCCAGGTCTGCTGCTGCTCTTTCCCAGGCTCTTGCAGCCACAGCTTCTTCCTGCTCCTCCACAAGCAGCCTGAACACCGGAGCTCCCGAGAGACTCGGAGCTGTCCCAGCTGTCACCCGTGAGCTCATTTCCCCTCTGCTTGCTGCATTTCCTGCACCCCGGCCCAACTGTTTCTCCTCCTGCCCTGCAGCACCGCAGGCATCCGCTGCAAACCCGGAGCCTGAGCAGCACAAAGCTGGCTGATCCCCACACAGGGCTGTAAGAAACAGATCTTGGGAGGGTAAATCCTTTTCAAAAAGGGTAACATGTCTTCATGAAGTTGTTACTGAGGGCATGTACACTGGTTTTTCCAATTTACAGCAACCACTTCAGAATTCAGATACAATTTCTGAATTTGAATTCATAAGGATAATAAAATGCAATTCTCTGCCAAAACCCAGCACTTCTGTATGCAAACACAAAGTCCAAAAAAAAAGTAACTTGATGATTTAATTATTGTGAAAGGCAGAAAGACCTTCCCTTCCTCCAAGCTTGCTCACAAAGGGAGCTAAAGTTAGTTTTAAAACATTGAAAAATGTGGTTGAAAGACCTGTAGCTAAATCCATGTCATGTAATTCAGCCTGAGGTAGATACTGCCAATATCAGATTCCAAAATAATAAAGAAGCAAGTGGAAATATCTTCTGACTCAAAAGTAATGAACAATCTTATTAATGGGAAAACGTATTTTTCAATTCTTTTTCTTAAATGTTACAGCTTAATAATAAGCTCAATCATTAAGCATTAAAATAAGTAAATGTAGCTTCTTACCCTATTCCTCATTCCTCACATCCCACTTCAAAGAGCTGCACCTTTTTAAGGGCAGCCTTCATCTGTTCAGACAAACAAACACAATTACTGGCATCAAGAAAGAAAAGACAGGAAGTCTTTTCCAAAAAATTCCGTTTAGAGATTACATTTTTAATTTACTGCTCTTTCAGGCTCTACACACCCCTGATAATTTTCATGGTATCAGCTGGCATCAGCCTAATATTCCCAGTATCTCTGCACAAACTTTTGAATTCCCAGGGCTTCAAAACATAAATCCAATGAAAATTATCTCATACAATGAACCTGCACTGTACAGACACCTGACTGCAAGTTTACTCCTGAGTAAAATTTCATCTTACTCAGGAGATGAAATTTGTGTTTGCTCAACCACTGAGATTTTCCTTTAGGAATCTAGAGTCTAAGAGAAAGGCTCAAAAGGACTTTGCATCCTATACCAAGCCAAGCCAATTAATGCAAATTTCCCTGGAGCTTGAAAGTGGGTAAAGAACAAAAGTTTCTGCTGACTCAAACAAGAATGAAATAATTAAAAAGAAACTTGGCTGAGAAACATATTGCCCCACGCATGCATTTCTGGTCTTCTAAATGACTCTCTCACTAGATATGTGGGAAGATATTCCAGCGTGGAGAAAGTGTTGACTGTCACCTTGTAGCCACAGGGAGATCACACACCATCAGCAGAATTGGGCACAAAGTTTTAAGAACAAATAAACACTAAACAAGTTTTCCCTCTTGGGACAGAAAAGCTCACACGCATTCAGTGATTCCATTTACTAACTCTGACATCTCACCACTGTTCTGATGTCAGAGGAGGGAGCCAGCTGAACGCAAAAAGAAATGCAGGAAAATAAAGAAAACGCTGACGGTCAAGGCTAACAACCCACGGAAAGTTACTACTGAATTCACCAAAGAGAGCTGTGCGGGACCTTTTCAGCAGCACCATTACTCCCTCCACATTCAGAACAGCGGAGGCACCTATCCCTGTGCAAACCAACTCAACTCCACCGCTAAAAACAAGCGCCAACACGCCCGGAGGCAAAAAACAACAACCCATCAGCCCTCGGGCTGGCAACCGCGGATCTCCCCTTCCAAGAGCCTTCCTGCCGGAAGCCCCGCGAGCGGAGGGGCCGCGGCAGGAAGCAGAACCCCGCCGGGCGGGCCCGGGAGCGGCGGCCGCTGTTGACAGGAAGGGCCCCACGTGCCGGCGGAGGCCCGGCCCCTCGGCCCCGCCCGCCCGGGCCCGGGCCTGGCGCGGGGCCTCCGCCGCGGGGGAAGGGAGGGGCCGCACCGCCCCTCGGCGGCCTACTCCCGCTCGCAGCCCGGCGCGGCGGAGCCGAACAAAGCGGGAACGCTCGGCCCCGCCACCTCCGGTGCCCCGAGAGAGGGGCCCGCGCCGCCCGTCAGCCCGCCCGGAGCGAGGCCTGAGCGCGGCCGCGGCGATCGGCCGGGGCGCTTCCCGCCGGGAAAGCCGCCAAGGCAAAGCTGGGGCGGGGGAGGGGAGGGGGTGGGAGTATCCGGGCCCGCGCGCGCCGCCGTTCCCGTTACCTGGAGCCCGCGCCGGGCCGCGCCGGGCCGGAGGCGGTTCCGCGGAGCGGCGGGAGCGGGGGCCCCGCGCGCGCCGCCNNGCCGCCCCGCCCCGGCGTGAGGGGAGGAGGGGGGGGAGGGGTGCGCTCGGCCCCCCCCCACCGCCCCTCACGGGGGGTGATGGCGGCAGGGGAGGGAGAGCGGGCGGAAAGGTCGCTGTCGTGACGATGGGGGCAGGCTCAGACCGCCCGCGCCACCCAGGCCCCGCCGCCCGTGTCAACAAAACGGAGGGTTTTGTTTACGGAGCACTCGCGGCGCCGGGGGCGGCGAGACCGCGAGTACTCTTACGCTGTCCGAACAACAGCCTGTGTTCCTTCCAGCCCCGCACCTCCAGCACTCAACAATGCCAAAATGTGGTAAAAATGCAGAAAACAACACCCCTTCTCGCTCAAAAAGAAAAATTAAAAAAGGCTTAAAAGCGGAGGTGGCGAGGCAGCGAATGCTGCTACACTGACCGAACAACAGGCTGTGCTCCCTCCAGCGCTAAACAAAGCCAAAATGTGGTAAAAACGCGGTGAAAACTCACCGAAACACCCAAAAGAAAAATATAAACGGGCAAAAAAAGCAGAGGAGGCGTTTGAAGCCGTGAGACAAGTGCGCCTACAATGACAGAACAGGCTGTGCTCCCTCCAGCCCTGCACATCAAGCGCTCGACAAAGGCGAAATATGGTAAAAATACGGTAATAAAAGTGCAGTAAAAGCACAGCCACTGTCTCCAAAAGGAAAATAAAACAGCAGCGTGCAGTGTGGTTCCCCCTGTGCTTTTGGGGTGACTTTTCCAGAAAGGCCATTTGAGTTCCTGGGCAGGTTTTGAAATCAGGAAGTCTAAGCAATACTTGAGCAGGCAGAAACAAAATGTGTTGTGAAAAAGTTAACAAATCGTCCTTAACATTGAGGTTTAATGCTCAAACGAGTTGTTTCCAGTGTTGGGATCTTAAAAGTGGTGTTAAGAAGTGTTGAGGGTGAAATACAGAGTGTTTGTGTCTGCACAATTTTTATGGGCCTCCCAAATTTTCTAAATTTGGCTAACAAGTGATGCTCTGTCCTAATAAAGCTTCCTAAATGAAGGGAAATTCCCTAAAGACAAGACCACCATTGTCCCGTACAGAAAACTGCCAGTGCTGTGCAGACACAGCAAAAATCTCAGATAAAAAAGAACCCTGAAACAACGCGGCAACATCATGAAATAAAAAAAATGGGAAAAAAACCCAGACCAAAAAACCACAGCCAAAATGAACTGACCTAAACAGGCCCCATGGTGGTCATGAGCTTAAGTTGTCTGAGACATAATTGTTATATTTGGGGCGTTGTTTTTGCTGTTGCTGGTTTGTTTGTTTGTTTGTTTATTTCTATTGGGGTTTAAGTTTCTAGCTATAATTTTTGAATTAAGAGTATGGCAAGCTTTTTTCCTCTAAGTGATTGCAGGAAATGGGATGTCCTGAGTGAATTATTAAAAATGGATATGTTTTACTATTTATTCTGCTTATCCTTGATTTTTTAATTTTCACAAGCATTTCTTTTTAAATTGCGTTTGTATGTCCCTTACTTTTGTACCACAGAGGTCCAGTTTAGTTTGTCAAGCATTCATTGTATTTTTCACTACGTGATATAGTAAAAGATGTCTAAAGGAGGTTAAAAGTTACTCAGTCAAACCAGAGCCATATGTAAGCATAGATTTTAATAAATGCAGTCAGAATAAATTTGGTTTTTTAATTGTGTTAAGGCAATCAGCTTTATCTGAGAGACATTTGATAATGTACTACACAAAAGAGTGCAAGTGAAGCTTGATTTTTGGCTTCAGATAATGAACATTTTGGTTCCAGCTAAGATTTCTGCTTTATTTACTGTTGCAAAGTTTACAACTGTAATGTTAAGAACTGTTTTCAGCAGTTCAGTCTAAATTACAGCAGGTACTGCTTGGAATGAGCCTGCTCCATTTTGCTGGCAGCAGAGGCTTACAATTAATATGTTTAAATAATGAAGGTTTCAGTTGAAGTGTTGTTTAAAGAATAAACTTGCCTTCAGAGAAATGGTTTGTGTTTGGGATTGTTTGCTCAACTTGAATTAGAAAGCTCTTGGGCCACTAAGAACTGTTTATTTCAATTCTGCCAGTGATAATTGAGATACATTTGAGAGATTATTTCAGAAATATTTATGGGACAACCACAGAACGGGACAAATGTGAAATCCAATCAGCATCACCAGCACCAAAATGATCTGCTGCAAGTTAGGTCTGAAATTTGCCAAGATCTAACGAAGCATCCCAATCCCACACTGAAAAACTAAGAAAATAATTCCCTAGGCTTTCATTTTAATGAGAATCCCAGAATCATCAAAGGTGGAAGAGATCTTCAATGTCCCTTAGTCCAGCAGCACCATAATCACCCATAACCCAAAAAAAGTTGCAAAAACCTAAAGCTGCCAACACGAGGAGGTTGAGAAACATTCTGATAAATGGCTTTAGCAGAGGCTGCTGGGGTGGGTGGGGTAATAAGCTTCTGTTTCCTCTCCTGATTAGGCCTTTGCTAAGAAAACACCCATAAGACTCAGGAGTGTGGTGGGTTTTATAGTCTGTTAAACAATCCATGTATTCATATATATATATATACATATTTGTGTGTGTGTACATTCTATGTGTATATGCCATATATACAAATTTGTGTACATATATACATATATATATACACATTTATACACACACATATATATGTATGCTTTCTCTTTCTCCTTCTGTCATATTTGATCAAAGCATCCCAACCTGTCTGTTGAAAATGTATTTTCTACTTTTTGCAAGAGTGGAGGAAAATTCCTGGCTGGCAGCTGTGTTCTTGACATGAAGCCAAGCACTTACCTGCTGCAGCCAAGCCAGTGATGAAGAACACTTGCACTGTGTCACATCACAAAACATAACTGGAAGGAAAGGCAGACTGAATTCTGCATGTGGGCAAAACCCATCTCCTCTCTGCCTCTCAGATGTTGAAAAGCTGATGATCCACTTCTTAAAGGTGTTTGAGTTGAGTGTGCTCAGGGATTTCCATTACTGTATGCAATTTGCTTCCTATTTTTTCAGTGGTAGAATGCTTCTTATTTTAGGAGCAGGAGATTTGGGATTAACCTCTGAATGTTACCTAACTAAATCAATAAAGGTTTTGTTTGCACAGACCTCAATAAGGCAGGGATTCCACCCTTGACCACAGAAAAAGTTTCTCATTATATATTCACTTATGATGTAGCTAATTGGAACTTCAACCCGCCTATAAAGGAGCAGCCTGCTAACAAACACTGCTACTCTGGGCAAATTAAGTTGAACACTTGCATTCTGGGAAGTTTTGCAAAATGTTTATCTTTGGAAACAGCTTTAAAAAAATACTCAAGGCTATCAACCATGCTGGGCTCAGCAATAAGAAGAGGGACACAGATAGATGCAAACTGACTCCAGTTCTCTAAACAGGAGAAGGAGGGGGAAAAAGCACATTGAAACTTTGATCTCCACAACAGTGCAACAAATTTCCTTTCTGTATTGTATGTGAATTTATAAATTTTTGGCTGAGGGAAGTTGATGTAATTCTGCAAGAAATGTGTCTTGAGATAAGAGTTTTGGCTACTGTATCTTCTGCTGGGCTGCTTACCTTGCAGCTCGGCTGTTAAATTACTCCAGCAGAAAGCCCTCGGGACAGTCGAGTTTCTGCAGGTTTATGGAAAACACAGACTACAGGATTTCCAAGCATTGGTAATCCAGACCCATTTCTATGTTGCAAGGCTATGTCCTTGAAAGAGTTGTAAATGTTTAAACAGAAAGTTGCTTTAATTCTAGAGAAAGAGAGAAAACTTCAAAGTTTAAATGGCTTATTATGAATACAAAGAAAAGCCTCGCTCATCCCCTGGGTACTCGCTGACTCACAAGCAGTTTCCCAGAAGTCTTCTGGCTTTTAAATCTGTATTCTTAGTCTTCAGAAAGAGTTTACAGAGCAGAGTGACTTCTGCAGGGATCTCCACAGGATGGGAGGGACAGAACCTACCTTTTCCTGGTTCCTGTGTGACAATCTGCCCTGCACGAAGGGAGAAGCTTGGCCTCAGTCCCCACTACTGGCACATTAACAATGTTAAATCCCTAGACATGAAGGCACTCCCGTACCTGAGGAAAAAGAAAAATTAAACACGTGGCACATGCAAAACAGACAGAGCCCAAAGTCTTTGAAGTGTCAACACAAACAAGTACACATGTATATATGTGCATGTGTATGTGCATATAATACACATAAATATGTATCTATATAGATAAAGAATGACAACAACATTAACTTTCCAGCCTTATTTTTGCAACCAGTGCATGATTTTTATGCCCGTGGCTAGCACTGTACACAACTCCCTGCAGGAACTAACATTTCAAGTTTATTTATTTGTAAAACAGGCTGAAGAGGCTGCTGGTCCAGAGTGAGCAGGCATTGGAGCCATGGACACAGCCAGGCAGGGACCAGCAGACTGGGCCAGTGGCAAACCAGGCCCTGCATCAAGGCACGGTACTGCACCCACCTCCAGTTTTCTAACTTGTGTTAAAAATTCACTGCAGTGTGGGGGAATATTTAAGGAAAATAACTAAGGTAAATTTGGACACATTTGTAACAAATATTTATAACACTGGGATATGTAGAATAGATGATAATTCTTACCAGGGTACAGACACCAAAGATACGATTTTGTTTAACATGGCGTTCATATTCTGTCTCTTGTATTTGGTGCCACTGCTATCCTCCCACCTCTCATCTTATTCTCAAAAAAAAAATAAAACCTAATTGCTCCAAACACGCAGGCCTAAACCAGAAGTGATAAATGAAGTAATCAGCTCAATGCATCTAGCAAATGATGATCTCACATATTTTGGCTTTAGGATCTGGTATCACTGCATATCTACTCTGAGTAAAATTTACTTCTTCTCTGATTAAACCTGCTCAACTAGTCCTGTTTATAATTTTTTAAAGCACAGTAATTTAAATATTAATTAACTCTTTGAACTTA